CTCATCCAACTCAGCTCAATCTCTGTGCAAGGCTGACCAGTCACCAACATCTCCTGTTCTGAGACTACGTTAAGACGTTAGTTAGCTCACTTCGTTCTGCCGCAAATCCACTTATTAAAAAAATAAGTCCCAAGTATATAAACCTACACTAAAGGGAGACTACTCAGAGCAACTGTTTGCGTCACGGCATCGCAAGAGCTTCCACCCCTACATCAGCACCCTCCAAATGGAGATCTCCCGAGGTCCCGTCCCACTCGAACTACCCTGTGACCCTGGAGAGGCTCCCCAGCCTCCCCCAGAGCCCACCCTTGCCCCGCTCCAGGGCTGCCGGCGGGTCCCATCGGGTCCCCAGGCAGGGAGGTGCTCGCAGCCTCTCCGGCCGTGCCCCGCGCAGCTGGTGCTCCCCCCATCCCTGATGGCGGGGAGGCACCAGCACCTTGCCGTAACACACTCCTTCCTGGCTCATTGTCTGCGTCATTTTCTAAAAAGTTTAAGGAAATCAAGCATGCCATGCCATCCTCTGCGTCCACTCCCGAGGTGGGAGCTTCACACACTGAAAGAAGAAGGGTTTGCAAAGATTAAACGTAAAAGCCGTAAAAGGCTAAATTTGAGCCTCTTGCATTCTTTCAAATAATATTTCTGGCAGCTGTCCCACCACCAAAGACAGGGAGTTAAAACACGATTACAAGGTACACATGGGGGGGTTAGAGATGATAACCTTGAAAGCAGAGAAACCGAGCGCTCAGGCAGTAGCTGGCTCACCAAGGAAAATTCTTGAAATACCTTTTTCAGTGGCTTCAAAGCCTTTTTTGAAAGTTTAATTTAATGCAACTTTTATTAAAGTTTCAAGCTTAGCAGAGGTAAAGCTTGCAACTGTATTTATAGAATCATTTAGGTTGGAAAAGACCTTTAAGATCATCGAGTCCAACCGTAAACCTAACACTGCCAAGTCCACCAGATATAACTTGGGGTCACTGCGGTACTTTATTCTGTCAATAGGTAAACAGATACAAATACTAATTCACTGCCAGCCGCAGAGACCTACACGTGCACACAAGTTTTCTCCATAGAGAGCAATATTTGCACATAAAACGCATAGCATGCTCATTGAGTATAAAAGGGAAACCAGGGAAAAACTATCTTCAATTCTCAGAAAAGATGCGTATTTAAAATATTGGCTAGGTTATGCTGCGAACTGTGGTTTATATTTTATTTTGCTCATTTTCTTCCATCTTGAGCCCAAAGACAGTTGTCACAGGTCACTTGTAGAAAGCAGCGGGCCAGCAGGAGGAAAAGAGCCATCGCAACAACCACGGGGATGTTCTTGTTTTCATTTACACGTCACGCGTGCACCACCTCGCTGCGATGCACACGGGGATGTTCTTGTTTTCATTTACACGTCACGCGTGCACCACCTCGCTGCGATGCACACGGGGATGTCTTGTTTTCCCACGGGGATGTTCTTGTTTTCATTTACACGTCACGCGTGCACCACCTCGCTGCGATGCACACGGGGATGTTCTTGTTTTCATTTACACGTCACGCGTGCACCACCTCGCTGCGATGCACACTTCCCAGCGAGACCCCAGGAGCGGCAGCAGCTCCGCTCCCGCGGGAGGCAGAGCCGAGCTCCTGCCCTGGGCTGGTGGGCAGCCGCGGGGTGCCCGTGAGCCATCGGGCCACCCCGGCTGTGCCTGGCTGATCACTCACCAGGGTCACCGCTCCTCGGTGTTTCAGCGTCCGCCGGGCTCGGTTTAACACCCAGCTGCCTTTGCCAGCCTCCGGGTTTCCTCCTCCCGCCAGCGAAATCCCACCTCGCGGCACACACCGACAGCCAGAACGCGTTTCTCATGGCAGAGCCCGGCGCTGGGCTGCACTTGGGGTTGGAGGGAGAAGGATGGGTTTTCCTGAGGATTATCCTATTTGTCATATCCTTACAGCAACTTTTTAAAGCATGGGTAAATTATAGGAAGGAATTCAATTAATAATGGCTGTCCCAATTAGCCAAAACAGATTTTTACAAAAAACACAAACCTTCCTTATATGAAAAATTCCACATTTATCTACTCCTTCAAGCTACCCAGACCCATGCCGATGGCAAAGAGTGAGAGGTAGCAACTGGTACGGGCAGGGGGAAAGTTAACAGGAGACTGCTGGGAGCACCTGGGAGAGGGGGGACACTGCGAGAACTCCCAGCAGGGACACGCAACGGTCTGATCACCAAGCTCAGCAACACCGTCCTGGCAGCTCTGCTTCTAATGAGCAGGAAGGGATAATGCACATACCAGAAACCGGAGGAGAGCTTCTGGGACCAAGACAAGCGATGCAAGGGGCTCGGGCATCGGTCTGATCCAGTTACTGACTAGTAATGGCAGCAAGGCAGTGATTCTGAAGCCTTTTAGAAAAATAGATTTTATTACTCATACAATGGCAATATCTATACTGTAAAATGAACTGACAGTACAAAGGCTTTGAACAGATAATACTGTTAGTGCTTGTACAATAAGCTCTCAACTAGTCCACCGAGACAGAGGGCAAGATTTGCTCAGAGAGAGACAAAAATTGCTAGTTAATGCCCAACCCTAACAACATGAGGCTTATCCTCAATTTAATAACAGGCGAGTAGGATGCACCAAGTGAATCAATTTGCCTGAGGCTACCCCATGAGTCATTGGGAGAGGCAGAGTTGCAGCTGCAAAGCAATGCTGAGCAGAGAACTGCCTCCAGGGAAAACACCAAATTTTAGGAAATGCAATTGAAAGCTTTTCATTTGTTTTAATTACTCCGTGAAGTGGGATTTAGGCAGAGGGAACAGCACTGCAACCTGGGAACAGCCAACCAACACCGCTGGCTCCTCATAAACAGGGTGCTGAGCTCCAGGCTGCTGTGCCACGTCCCTGGAGACTGTCGCCTCCCAGGGAACTGAAGAGCCGTTGTGGTGGCTGGATTTGCCCGATACACTGAACTGCTGCGTTCGTCTGAGTGGGAGATTTAACCATCCCAGACTGCGGTTTCTTTATCTGAGAAGTGGGAATAAAGCACCTGGGAGAAGGGCTCGTGAAGGACTGGTTGCTGTGCAGGTTCTCAGGACAGGGCTGTGCAGGCTGTCATATGCCTTCAGTTTGTCATCCGCATCAGAATGGCGGGCGGGGGGCGCGGAGGAAGAGATGCCTTTCGGTCCAGAAGCAGCAGGTCACAATTTCGTAAACTCCCAACCCCACACAAAGATTACATCAGGTTCTCCCACAAGCCGTCTTTCAACACGTAACCGACATCATCATCATCAGGCAAAGGCCTGAGGTGCGGAGGGCGCATTCAGCAGAGCCCCGCAGCACAGCACACGCGGCTGCCAGCCCCACCATCCACCTCCCGGCCGGGTGCTCGCTGGGTACCGGGTCACCAACAGCAGCGGTCTCAGCAGCTCCTGGCTCGCCTCCTTCCAGGGCCAAGAATTCAGACCATTCAACAGCCCTTACTCCCAGCACAGCCCAGCCTCAGTCGCAGGACATGGACTTAGCACGAGATCTACGCCTCCACCCTTCAAGCAACTTGTGGAGCTCTAGAGCCATGCATCGCCCTCCTGAGCCCAGCAGCAAGGCCAGGACAGGCAGCACATCCCTAGCCAGGCAGTGGTTTTGCTGTGGATTGAGGGATTGGGAGAAATGCCCCTCTACTCCACTCTGGTGAGACACTGCGCCACCCCCCCCCCAGCAGCACTGCGTCCAGCTCCGGGGTCCTCAGCACCTCAGCAGAAAAGATGCAGACCTGTTGGAGCAGGTCCAGAGGAGGCCACGAAAATGATCAGGGGGATGGAACACCTCTGCTATGAGGAAAGGCTGAGAGAGTTGGGGTTGTTCAGCCTGGAGAAGAGAAGGCTCCGGGGAGACCTTATTGCAGCCTGTCAGTACTTAAAGGGGGCTGATAAGAAAAATGGGGACAGGAGATTCAGACTAGATACAAGGAAGAAATGTTTTAGGCTGAGGGTGGTGAGACACTGGCCCAGGTTGCCCAGAGAGGTGGTGGATGCCCCATCCCTGGAAACATTCCAGGTCAGGTTGGAGGGGGCTCTGAGCAACCTGATCTAGTTGAAGATGTCCCTGCCCACGGCAGTGGGGTCAGACTAGGTGACCTTTAGAGGTCCCTTCCAACCCAAACCCTTCTACGATTCCATGAACTGGGACTGGAGAACTGCCTGTGACTGGCAGCAGATCCCTTCACCAGTCTGCTTTCTTTCAGCTTCCAACACTTTGACTTTCTTATTTAGACTCCAGTCTCCTTATAAGACAAAATTCCTTGAACAGAGCCTTGTAAACGAGCATCCGCTGCAACTGAGGCAACATTATAAATAAACAGCTTTCCCTTTTCCAGTAGTCACTTATTGCTATTGGTGCTTATGTAAGAAAACAACAATTTTATTTCTCTTCAATAAAGTTATCAGCTAAAATCTCCAAGGCCAAGACAACAAAAAATTGTTCCTTTTTTCAGCAGTATGCACACAGGTGCTGTAGCTGTTTCAGCTGGGTTGGTGCAAGAATGTAGTAAACACTGTAATGTGAAGAGACAGCAGCCAGTGTATTTGCTCAACAGTGACAGAGAGCCTTGATCAGAATTCAGAGGTATTTCCCAACCCCACAATTGAAAAAGGAATGAAATAATAACAACAATCATGTAAACCAATCTCCTTGTCTTTCAGTGTTGGAATAAATTGATAATACCTTGTGTGTAGAAAAAGATTAAGCGGCTAAAAACCCCCAGAACAGAGGAAAAGCCATAGACACTAAACATTACAGTACTGAAATACACCGTTTGGATCACAAACTTGGCTCAAGATGGTACACTGCTTCCTCTGCCAGATGAAGAGATAGGCAGCCAACAGCCGAAGAGTTTGCACACCTGAATTTCAGGCACCCCACCACAACAGCATCACCCGTAACAGAAGAGCCCTCTACAAGAGCAGAGTGCTGCGTGGGAGAAGGACGGCAAAGCAGCCAAGCACTAACCTCGTCGCTCTCCTCTACGTCCACGTTGCCATTGGCATCATCATCCATCTGCTTGTGGATGTTGCGGACGGCTTCGAAGCTGAGCTGCTCGTCTTCATCGTGGCACAAGGGCTTGTCAATGCGGCAGAATTCTGCTGAGGAAGAAAACACCAACGTTAGGCAGCCTGTACCAAAAATATCGCCATCGTGTTTTCTCACTAAGCTTCTTGTGTTTGAAAAGCCCTCGCTGAGCACTAGAGAAAGCATCCCAGTGCCGTCATTCACAGCCAGAGTCCCACGAAATCCCTAACAGCAAAGGGTAGGTCATGGCCTCAAGCGAGGCTGCTCTTCGCCAGGTCAACTTCTTCAGCATTTCCACCGCCCTGGGCCTCCCAGTGCTCCGAGGGCAGGTCTCACAGCTGGGGCTTTCTCCTGCCCACACGGTGTCCACCGATGCCCTGGTGATAGGGGAAGGGGAGGACTGCACCTATATTTTACCTCCTATTTTACAAGCTTTATTTCTCACTTGGAGATTGTTAGTGTTGGCACAGCATCTAGCTAGGACGTTTTGAGAGTTGTATGTTTATATAAGACGTCAATTAAGAAGAGTTAGCCTTCTCCTCGATTATGAAATGGATTTTTCTGGCTTGCTTTCACATATTTTTCTACGTTTCAGTACTAATACTTTAAATTTTGCTGCATGCCTGAGTCCATGTAAGCACCAAAGGTGGCTGACCCATCCCTTCTATGGCACTGCCGCGTGGCGAGGCATGACTTGCCACGATGACCGCAGACCAACGCTGCAGCGCCGAGACAGAAGCACAGGTGCCAGGCACTGAAAACATCCCCCAAAGGTGAGCTCTATTCATGACACACATTAAGAAAAACCCTTTTGTTTCACAGAAGCTGTATCAGATTCACTGTAAGCAGATAACGATTAAGAATTATCCAGGGGTGACTGCTCCGATCGCTGCGAAACCAGTTTAACAGCTCCTGGCCCAGTTCCCATTAGGAAGGTCTCACATTCAAAAAAAAAAATCAAAGGGAGTTCAGACTGAACTAGGAATTTAAGCAGAAAAGTCCAAATTATGTATGCGCTCAAACCCAACTCCAGGGTGATCCTCTCTCATAAACAAGCTTGTCTTATCTTGAAAGTAGACGGATTTTCTCCTGCTGCTGCTATACGCGCTGTACCTGCCGGGAATAGCTGGGCACACATTCACCTTGCTATCCAAAGATGATCATTTGGACTATTCACATCTCTCTTACATCTCCACACAACTAGCAAGTACTTGGATTCACTATCAATATGAAAGACTTCTGAACATTAAATCCACACAAGTTTTCAAAACTTATTTAATTATTTCAGCACATACTATACGATCCCTATGGAAAAAAAATTCCTAGAGGAAGTCCAAAAGCCTCTTAAACAGAGGTTCTGACAGAATGTGTTACCTACCACATTTAAAAATCCACTCAGTCAATTTGCTTGTGAAATTGAGGACTCACGCTACCAGACCTGCCTGCCAATAGCCCTGCTTTGGTCCTGCCCCTGGGGAGGAACAAGCCCAGGCACCAGGACAGGCTGGGGCCACCCGGCTGGAAAGCAGCTCGGCAGAAAAGGACCTGGTGGGCACCAAGTTGACCATGAGCGAAGGTGGCCAAGGGTGTCCCCGGGGCTGCATCAGGAGGAGCGAGGCCAGCAGGTCGAGGGAGGGGATCCTTACCCACTGCTCAGCACTGGGGAGGCCACAGCTGGAGTGCTGTGTCCAGTGCTGGGCTCCCCAGTACGAGAGAGACATGGACATACTGGAGAGAGTCCAGCGAAAGGCCGCTGAAATGATTCAGGGGCTGAAGCATCTCTGCTATGAGGAAAGGCTGAGAGCTGGGACTGCTCAGCCTGGAGAAGAGACGGCTCAGGGGGATCTCATCCATGTACACCGATACCTGCAGGGAGGGTGCCAAGAGGACGGAGCCAGGCTCTTCCCAGCAGTGCCCAGTGTCAGGACCAGAGGCCATAGGCACAAACTGGGACACGGGAGGGTCCCTCTGAACATCGGGAAATGCTTTTTCACTGTGAGGGTGCCCAAGCACTGGCACAGGTGGCCCAGAGAGGTGGTGGAGTCTCCATCCTTGGAGATACTTAATAGCCATCTGGACAGGGTCCTGGGCCACCGGCTCTGGGTGAGCAGGGGGGTTGGACCAGATGGACCCACCTCAACCAGTTTGGGTTCTGTAATAGCACTGATCTCCATACGTAAGCACAGAGCCTCCCACACGGAGGAAACCAGACTGACACCGGCTGATGTCATCATTTGCATTTCCAGATTCCACAGTGGAAACCCATCCCTCAGCCCTTCTGGACTGGGCAAAAAAACCCAAACCCTAAACACCACCACAAATCTAAGCTCAACGAATTACACACCCCCCCGCAGCCACGCTGCATACAGCTGTTCCAGGCGCAGGTTTTGCTCATGTGCAAATGCACGTGGTTATCAGCTACTGAAGTTTCTGAACTCAGTGCAGCTTCAGCCATAAGCTACTTATCCTTAAATATTTGTAAGAACTCAGTGTAAAAAAACAAACCACACCCCAAAAAACAACCCCCGAACAAACAAACCAAAAACTAAACAACAAACTAGAATGCCATGTAAATATAACGCTGTTTTCCTACCTTTAAATGATTTTCCTCATCTTATGTCCCCACACTAAATAGGTGGCTCACAACCAGCTTTATTATGTATGTATCCCTAATCAGCAGACTGAATAAAATACTGGGGTTTTAATTTTGAGGATCATAAGCCAAGGATCAGGAATTTAATTTTAACTTTACTTACCTGCAGCAGAATAAATTATCTTCTTCAAAGGCATATTCTGCTTAAAATAAAGTCACTCAAAAAACACTTAGATGGATGTCAGAGCGTTATTCAAATCAGACCAAGCTCTTATATTATGCTTATAATCATTACTTCTGGTGTGCTTATATATACACATATACACCAATGTATTCAAGATCTTAGCTATAGATTTTGCACTAGCACGTTTCAAATATTGAACTAATTTCATATGCCAGTGCATAATATCATACACTATAAATTGAAAGGGGTTTTTGTGGGGTTTTGTTTGTTTTTCTAAATAAGGTACCCTGCTCAGATCACCAAGCTTGTGTGTTATGTGCAGGAGATCCTAACAGCCGATCATCCTTCAGTGCTCCGGAGAAAAGTGATATCCTCGAGGTGCTTGATGAACCATCTCAAGAAAATTTATCTGTACATTAGGTAAACAACCGCACCTTATGCGTGTGTACTAAAAATTGCTGTCATTAAATATCCAAATCCACTTATACTTTGCTAATAACAATGATTAACTATGGATAACTGTCACTGTCACACATACACCCTCTGTGTCTGTGCCCCGCCACCCCCGGAGGCTGGGAGTCTAGAACACTCGCCACCGCTCCAGGAAAGAGCGAAAGCCCTTGAAACTACAAACCAAAAAATCCTAAAAACTAGAATTACCCTAAAATTTTATGTCTGGTGTATCCTTTATAGCTTTTTAAGAAGAACATAATTCCAATCTCCAACACTGGGGTAAAAATGGGTAGATAAGCCCTTAAGACCTCTAAGGTAGGCGCAGCAGGCAGCTATACTGGTGCAACCCTCTGAGTTTCTGGTATGGCGTCAGTGCGTGCACCCAGATCATGCACAGAGCAGGTCAGAGCAGGTTTTGTTCGTACCTGAAAGTCTCTCTTTTTCAAGCCTGGTGAGTGAACCGTCCCAATGGGTTCTTCAGCTCCGGCTCCATGACTCAGTGCTGCTGCAGGCAGAGCTGCCGGCAGCCCATGCCGACACCAGTGCACGTCCCTAGCACGTACAGCCTCAGTCCTGCTCTAGAGCGGCACAGCAAGCCCTCCCACTAATAAGCACAGAGCATCCTTCAGAGACACTACTCTTCACTAAGGTGGCCTTTGGTAACCCATAGACAAACCGTATTTATCAAGGGGAGACACCCGTTTTTGTTACAAAAGCGGGTTTCTAAAAATGGGCCCTCTGGCATGAAAACCCGATCATCCTTTAGGGACACGCAGAGGCAAACGGACTGATCTCATGATTTAATGCTGGGAGAAGACAAGCTGTACAATCTACTGCTGCAAAATAGCACCAACAAGAAATCAGACTATACGTATGCACACACGCACATCAGGGAATATGGATCGTGTAGGTAACATCACCACAGCAGCTCGTGGCTGGCCTCGTCCCAACATCATCAATGGATGTCGATGCTTTAATGTAAGTCTCATCAGAAGAAACTCCCAGCTGTGTAAACCCAGCTGAGCAGAAGTCCGCATTAATGAACAAGACTCACCCACACTTCACCCCCCGGGTTGATGCGAGGTGTGCCCATCACAGCCAGGATAAAGCCCCAAGCTGTGCTCTGCTCCCTTGGGGTATAAACAGCCACGCCACCCCCCCGGCACCCTGATCTTCCACCCACCCCAGCATCCAGCCACTCGGGGCTTGGGGTTGGGTTTTCTTTGGTGACTTATTTTCAGGACAGTCTTTTCCCCTTTGGGGAAAAACCAGCCACGCCACCCCCCCGGCACCCTGATCTTCCACCCACCCCAGCATCCAGCCACTCGGGGCTTGGGGTTGGGTTTTCTTTGGTGACTTCTTTTCAGGACATTGTGATCGCTAAACCACGACAGCATCAGAACACTTCTGCGAGTTACAAGTATTGCCAGGCCTGGAACTGACTCCATAATTCAGGCTGAATTTATAGGTTTGGTTTCATTATCTAGAAAGATAACTATTATTATTACATTTGGCACAATCTCCTTCTTCTACCTTGCATAGTTGTGAAAAAACAGGAGAAAACATAAAACAGCTTAGCTTCAGAAAAACCAGACCTACCGTGCCTCCCTGCAGCAGGGCACTGCAAGAGGCCACGTGCTGCTTTATTTCCAAATGCAAAGATTCAACCATCTCTACCAAATTACTTTACGTTAACAGCCATTTTCTTTCTCTCCAGTCCAAATTACCTCACACACCTATTGCTGTCCATTCATCATTTGCTGGCTTCAGTTTAAAAAAAATAAAAAATTATCCAGAACTGAATAAATCGGATTCTTTCAAGTTTGCCTATGAAAACACCGCACAAAATGTTTGTAAGGAACAGAAAAATTCATGAAAGGAGCGATTCCTCCCTCCGCTGGCACGTCGCTGTGCTCCAGCTGTTGGACAGGGAGCTGCATCCCCACACCAGCTCCC